GATGTCCTCAGGTGAGATTTTTTTAAAAAAGGATCATCGATGAACAGAAGTTGGATCCCACCTCCTACCCATTCTCCCTAGAGATGATTTTATCCAGCTTAGTTTTTTCTATGGTTTGTATTATGAAAACAGGTTTTTATGCCTTTCAAATCTACAATTTAAATATAAGGTGTAATGTTTTTCTTTTCAAAATTGGCTCTAGTGCCTTGTTTCCTGTAAAGTGTGGTTTGGTGGTCACAAAACAAAGGTACTATGATAAACATAAAAATAAAAAGAACACTTATTAATATGTTAATAAAATAGTTAATAAACAGTTAAACATCTTTTCACGTATTCTTGTCATGCTAGCTTCATTTAGAGAAGACTAAATACGTGCTAGGTATAATAATATACATCTAATGAATTACATATATAATCTCATTTAATTTTCACAGATACCCATTTAAAAAATGAGGAATGTAAGTCTTAGAACATTTCTGTTATTTTTCCCAAGTCATGTGCCAAGTTAATATCAGAGTGAGAAATCGAGCTTCTAAAGCTTATTCCCCTGAGAAAGACAGAACGTATTAGATTGTTACAACAATCTTGCTAGTAAGTGAAGGAGCTTCACTAAGAAAAAATTATAAAATGACTTTCAATAGTTGACTTACTTTGTAGAACAACCTATTAAAGATATGATGAGGTGAGGCATTCTTTAGAAACTGTACAAAGAAGGAAGTGTTAAGGAAAGATAGGAGGGGCAGAGACTAATTTAATTGATTTTATAGTTTCTCTATGGTTGGCACAATCTTCAAAGAAAATAATTCAATAAAGAGCACAGAAATATACATTTTAATAAGCAGAATGTATCAATTTGCAATGTGCATCACAGTAAATGGGTCAATGTCTTTAATATATAGAAAGCTCTTCCAGCTCAATAATAAGAAATAAATAGAAGAATGGACAAGTACAAGAACAGTCAACTCACAGAGGAACAAATATAGCCAGAAAGTCCACAGAAAAAATAATTGTCTCTCTAAATTAAACTATAGAAAATTACACAATAAAATGAACTCCCTAATTATCAAACATTAAAAGGGGTGATAAAAATGATGATAAGAAAATAGTGAAAAAGATGAAGATGTGGTTGAGGAACAGAGAAAGAGGTATGCGTACATTGTTGGTAGAGAAGTGAATTAAGTCGCATTTATACAATGAACTATCATTGACCTGGGCCTGAATGTTTATTTAAATGGAAACACTCCAAATGAAAAATTATGACACCAATTATAGAATCCATACATAAAGCATCATTTTGTTTTGATAAACAAGTAATTATAAATAAGCTCATATGTAATTATAAAATATAATTGCACATAGGTAAGTCTGTAGGACTCTAAACCAAACTTGTAGTCATTGGTAATTGGGGTTAGCTAAAGATATTGATGGTGAGATTTGGGTGAAGTTCCTCTTTTTTCTTCTTGTTTAGCAATAGTTTGTTTACCAGTAGTTTCTAGTTTTCTATATTAAAACCTAGGTTTCTCGTAAATAATCAAAAGCAAGCTTTAAGGTAAAAGAAGTAGGGTGGCGGTTGAGAGGACGAAGTAGGATGAACAGAGTCAGATAAGCCCAGGTGACAGGTGGCCTCAGGTAAATCCCTTCAATTTATCAACCTTGGTTTCCTCCTCTGTAAGCTCATGACAAGGATGGCGCCTGCCTCAGAGGGTTTTGGTACTGGGTATACTAGATAACTATTCGACTTAGTGTGTGTACTTATTCATCAGTCAAGTAATTACCAAGTTCCTACTCCTGTATTACAGGGTAGTGCAAGGTGCCAGGGGCAGTGCAGGGGCATTGGAGGTGGTCCCTCCTCCGCAGGCCGTTAAATGGCCAAGGTTACTCACTGCCCAAGTAGACAGATGCCACTGAGTTGCACAGGAGCATGGCAGCCAAGGGAGTCGTGATTCTATAACATGCAAGGCAATTCCAAAAGATACGTTTTAAAGGTAATGAACGTCTATTTAACTAATTCGCTCCTCTGAGAAAAGGCCATCTCACTGGGTGAATTTTATGGTATATAAATATACCTACCTCAATGAAGATGTTTTTAAAAGGCAATTATTTTAGTATGTGTTACTTACCTGAAAAAAATGGTCTGAAGAGTATTTTGGTACAAAACGCACGGATACAGTACGAAACCTGACATTGCATGAGAAATTTCCTAAACTAGCTGGTTTGAGTCATCCGAAGTTGAATCTGGTTCATCAAATTATTGAATTGCTTGGAGACTCATTTTTAGTGTGTGATTAATAAAATGATGCCCACATAGGATTTGCGAATGTTAAATACTATGACTCCAATAATGAATTCCTTAATTTTTCCTGTAAACCGATTGGGGAAAAAAAGTGCTTTATTTGTTTGGGTGAAAAAGGGAACGGAAGTCCTTCTGATTTTCAAGGTCTAATTAAAATTCCACTCTCTCTAGAAAATTGCTTCCTTGACCACTCTTGTCATTTATTGATCATAATAGTCCTAACTTCCATTTACTTAACACTGTTCCCATGGATATGGTAAGTGCCTCACAGACCAGATCAAAGTCAATTTTGACAATAGCTCATGACACGTTATTAGCTCCATTTCACAGATGAGAAGACTGAGAGAAGTAAGTTAAGCAACTTGCCCAGGTCCAATGGCTACTGAGTTATCAGGTTAGGCTTTGAAGCCGGGGCTGTTGGGTTACAAAGCTTGTTAACACCATGCCACACAAATCCCTCCTTGTCCCTCGTCCCATCTGTGCATGGTAGAGACCATCAAAGAATGGTAGATCAGAATAATTGGTCTTTTCTTAAAGTGTTCCCAAACAAAAGGTGACAAGCTAAAACTATGTTCTGGCAGGAGATCCAAATTAATTTCCTTTAATAATAACAGTGTTCTGAGACACAATGATAGCAATTTATATAATGAAAGGAATTGCTACTCCGAGAAGATATGCTTAATTATAAAAGCCAATATTGAGAAAAGAATTGAACATTGAATAGTTTAAATCCTTGTGTAGGTAATTATCCGGAAATGCTCTTTAGTCATTGAGATCACAGCTTTTATGGAGTCCAGATTCTTATACTTTATATTTCATTCATTCACTTATTCAGTGGTTATTTACTGAGTACCTACTATGTGCCAGGTCCGGTTTTAGGCATTTGAGATACATCAGAGAACATAACGAATAAAAATCCTGCCCTTAAAGAAAAAAATAATAAAACAATTAAAAAACGAACGAAAGAAATAGCATCACCAAAGAAAAGAAAATCCCTGACCTTATGGAGTTTCCATCCCAGTGGGCAGAGACAGAGGAATATACGTCAGATGATACTAAGTGATGTGTATAGACGTATGAAGCACAAAGCAGAGAGCTGAGGGCAAGTGTTTAAATAGGCCCTCAGCTCTGAGAGAAGAGCTGAGAGAAGAGGAAGGGTTTCCTGGGCAAAGGAAGAGCACCCGGTGTGGTCCTAGCAGAGCACATAGGCCACCAGGCGTGGAACAGAGAGAGGAAGGCCAGAGTTGCCATAGACCAGGGCAGAGAAGAGTCCGGGCCTGGTGGCAGTGACGGACTGTGGCTTTTTCTCTGAGAAAGGGAGAATAGTTAGGAGACTGTTGTGATTATCCAGGTGAGAGACGATGGGAGTGATAGCAGTGCAGATGCAGGGGACGAGAAATGATTGGTTATTGAAGCTATTTTGAAAGTACACTTGACCTTGGAACAGTACAGGGGATTAGCAGGTATCAACGCTCCCCATCGAAAAACTCACATATGATTTTGGACTCCACAAATACCCAGTATGCACAGGGGACTGGTTACAGTATCCCCTCGGATACCAAAAGCCACGCATTTGAAACCGGGGGATACCCAAATCTGACTGTATATTTATTGAAAAAAGCCTGCCTGTAAGTGGACCCACAGGGTTCAAACCCATGATGTTGAAGGGTCAACTGCAGAACTGAGAGAATTTCTGGACAAATGGGAGTGTAGGGTGCGAGAGACCAGGTGTGAGGTGGGAGAAATCTTCACGTTAACGTCCTGGCGGGCTAACTGTGGAGGGAAGAGCCTTCACCATCTGGCTCTGTGTGCCCAGGCCATCTGACCTTGGAGGTTAAGTCAACAGGAGTCATTAAAGCCCTAACTACTAAGAATAAGAAGACATGTGTAGAGTCCCTTCTGCCCAAGCTGGTTCTTATTTGGGAGAGGCTGCCAAGCTAAATAGCGGCTGTGGGAAAAGAACAGATGCCATTTTTTAACGAAATACTTTCAGCCTGTCAAGGAGAGAAACTGCACCAAGAGGTCTAAGAACATACAGATCAGGTCTTAAGGTTTGGGGCTGGGAGCATGTTGTAGGACCCAGCCCTGGGTTTTTCCTAAGTTTTTCGATTTCTCTTTCTTTTTTTCCTTTCATTCCCCACTTCCTCCCTGGCCCAACTTCTTGTCTGCAGGAAGGTACCGCTTTACCCTTGGTTCTCAAACTTCAGCAGGTGTCAGAATTACCGGGGGCGAGGGGAGGGGACTGTGGAAATACAGAGTAGTGGGCCCTGCTCCCAGAGTTTCTAACTGGGGTCGCATGTGGTGGGGACAGGAGGGAGCTGAAATTTTGCATTTCTAACCGGTTCTTAGGTCATGCTTGAGAAGAACTCTTGCTGTTTGTACCAGAAGGTGTGCAAAGCCACGACACCTAGAACTCCACCTGCTGGGATGTTAAGTGGGGAAGGTTCCAGCTCACAGATGTCTCCAGTCACCAGGAAAATGGTCCATTTACCCCAAGGTGTTTCTGGGCGGCCCTAAACCACTGAGAATAAGAAGAAGCCGACGAAAAGAAGGAGCAGAAAGTCCTTCCAGACTGGACATCCCCTTGCAGCTGAGCAGCCAGGCGAGGGCGGGAAGAAGGCCCGGGGCCAGCCCACAGCTCCTTGGAGGGCGCGGACCTGGAGGAGGCGTCCCAGAAGGCGGCGCTTCTCGGAGGAAGTTGGTCCTTTAACTGCAGAGCCCGCTACCCGTCGCTTCAGCCTGCAGACGCGAGCAGCGGGCACGCACGCACCGGAGCCGCCAGTGCCGCCTGGGGTGTGGGCCGGGCCGCCACCGCGCTCAGCACCCGCGCTCCCTGCAGCCATGGGCGCCTCGGCCTCCAGCCAGCTGGACGAGGGCAAGTGCGCCTACATCCGAGGTACGCCTCCCGGGGGGACCTTGGGACGGAAGGGCCGCCCAGGCACTGGCCCCAGAGGGGACGTCCTGAGCAGGTGCCCGCAGCGCATCCCGGCCTCCACGCCCCGCTCTCTACCTGCCGGAGCGCGGGGGGTCCCCGGGTTCCACCCAGGGCGGGTGCAGCTGGACGGTGCGCCCCGGGTCGGGTGGGGCTGGGGATGTTCGGGGGAAGCGCCCCGGGAGGGCTAGGGGAGACAGGTGCAGGCTGCAGGGTGGGGCAAGACCTCCTTCCCTCCTCTGTCCCCGCCTGGGGCTCGTCCCCCCAACTGCCGACCCACCCAGGCCAGAAACACCTGGCTTTCCTGTCTCTGGACCTTCGCGGTTCTCAGCTCTTTCTGAACGTGCCTCAGAACACCGCAGGGGGTACCCCTCGCTTCTGGAGATTTCCCTGGGGATTCCTGACCTATCAGCAGAATTTCCCTCCTGGTCTTTCTGGTCTGGTTTTGTAAAAACCCCCTAGCCTTGGCCACAACTTCACTTGAACTTCAAAGTGTCACCTGGGGGGATGATTTCATCAGAGGCAGAAAGGACAATGTCATCATGCTCCCAGGTTGTAGGATCCCCTTCCCTTCCTGGAGAAGGGGGGAAGCAAAAGGGGAACACGAACCTATTTTGTAACTGTTGCAAAAGTCATAGATGGGAAGAAACTCATTTTGAGAAACTTTCAGAGACGTGGTGATTCAGAAAAGTGTGAGGCAGAAGAAAAAAAAAAAACCAAACTGAACTGAAACTGCAGGAAATCATGACTGTCTACCTCCTGGGTGCCTTTGGCCTCCCCTTCTCCCCTCCACATAGCCTTGCCCACCACCACCTGACACTCGGTTGTCTTGTGAAGTTAGTGTTTCTCTGGCTCTCCAAATACCTTCTAAATTGGCCATGAAACCCTCATTCTGTAAAGAAATGGCTGCATTCTTCCTGATACCTCTTTCTGGCCCCTGAACCTTCTGCTAAGAAGAAGGTGTTTATTTAGTGTTCTTATAATCGATATTTGTTTTTAGCCACCATAACACCTAAACCCACTTGGAAAGTCAGGGCACTTCAGTGCTGTATAGTGGATTCTGTGGATTCCTGCTGAGTGTTTTCGGTACTTGAAGGTCATCCACATCCCATATGGTCAGGGGATAAAACTTGGTCAACAGTCCCTTTGCTATTGTTTATTTAAAATGGGGAAAAGATGGACGACCTGTTTATATTAGCAAAAGAGCATAAAGTAAGCAGGCCTTGGTCTTACATGTTTGGCCACAGCCTTGTGGTACAGGACACTGAAATAATGTATGTACAGAACATGTGAGAAGGGGCTTGCATTGAGCTATTAGCAAAGCATGTTTCTGGCACTTATTTTATAAGACTTTTTAACTCACCACAAAGCCCAGAAACACCGGAAGTTGGAGCGTGTCCATCTATAGTAATCAATCGAAGTCGGCAATGAGCGAGTTAACTAGCTTGAGAAGACTTCATGGTCCTGACTGTCCTGGATGTGAACATCGTACTCGTGATAAGAGAATGCGTTATCTCCTTATTATTGAAATTAGGTTATTATATGCACAGAAGGATGAGCTAGCTAGCACCCAGGAAGGACTTATAAGACATTCACCAAATTCTCTAGTTTTGCTCAATTTTATCTCCTCATTCCGGGTTTGGGAGGGCACTTTCAAGGGATGTAGGGACAGAGGGAAGAGTTAATGAGAAAATGAGACATTGCCTCATTTGAGCGCACAAGTCTTGCCAAAGAAGAAAAGTGTGTTGGAAAAATGCATGGGGTTATGAATTGTTAGTGGATGAGCAAATAAAGGTCATGGGACTATGATTTCCTGATGGCTTTGAAGCCCCAGAAATCCCAGGGAGGGGGAATGAGGCAAACCATAACCCTACCTTCACCTTTTTGCTCATCCTTTAACCCATAAATTTCTCAAACTGAGATTCAATTGTAAGCAGAATGATTGAAAGTATGATAGTGAAGTTTAAATACAATTTTACGACCCGTTCTTCATAAAGTAGCTGCCAGTGAAATAGTTTAGATTTGAAAGCTCTTTTAGCTGGGACAATAACTTTCTTTCAAGCTTGATAGACTTGCTAACATATGGAGAGTAACTTGTCAGTGTATGAGTATTTGCAGTGAGTTTTGTTAACTTAATCTTGTATGTGCTAGAAGCAGCTGTCTGAATCAACATTTACTTTTCGATGAATCATTTGACAGCTGCCATTTGGTTTGTGTGCCTCGAAACTTTGTGTTAATAGGAATTGTTGTCACATGGATAGGTCAAGGGTTATCAGAAGCACTAGGGACTTACTTCATTTCTAAAGATGTTAGTTTTGCAAATTATTTCGACACTCATGTCTCTTGCAACAAAATAAAGTTTCAGGAATGTTCCTAGAAGACTTCAGTAATTTCCCTTGATAAGATGTTTTTATCAATGAATGACAGAGACCAGTCTGTGATCACATGGGCACTGTCATCTGTTAGCTTTCGGTGAGGACCTGAATATGTCCTTTAGTGAGAAAGAAAGCTCAGGGGCCAATTTAGGACACTTTTCTCTCTCTCTTTCTTTTCAAAGATTTTGTCTATTTTTAGAGAGGGAGAAAAACACCAATGTGTGGTTGCCTGTCACGTGCCCCCAACTGGGGACCTGGCCCACAACCCAGGCATGTGCCCTGACTGGGAATCAAACCAGCAACTCTTTGATTTGCAGGCCGGTGCTCAATCTACTGAGCCACACCAGCCAGGGCACTTTTCTCTTTTTATGCCTTTGTCCTTTTTTTTTCAAACCTTTGGTATGCCTGAAAGTCAACCATAGCTTCAAAAATACAATGCGTTCCTGTTTAAACAATTTTTTCTCTTTTAAAAATGACCATTGAATTTTAATTCAATGGGTGGGGGCTGGTGGACACTTGTAGCCCTAGTAGCAACAAATAGCAGTTAGGAAAACTCTTCTTTTCCTGACTTACTCATAGTCAGTCACTCGTATCCTATAAAGAGCCCATTGGCTCCCTCTGAAATGCCCATCAGTGATCTGACGCTTTAAAGTGAGAAATGAGTTTCTGCTTAAAAACAGCATATATTTCTCTCTGAGGAATTGTATCAGGTTTATACGGTAAGGGTTAATTTAGGTGACTGTACAAGAAACTTATGCAGGTAACAGTGTCTAATGTGAAGTCTCCATAGATGAGGTAAGTGAAAGGCGGGAGAGCTGTACCTGTTCACAGGCTTCTCAGTTTGGATGTGTAGTCCCCGTCCACACACTGGCTTATTCTTCTGTCCTGGTTTGTTGGTAGGAGGTGGGCGGAAGACCTGATCTGATTTATCTGGATAATTGTGATAAGGTGATCTCAGAGCTCAATTTATCTGGCTAGCAACGGTTGTGGGAAGTGGGTAAAGATTATACCATTGTTATTTATCTCAGTTCCTAATTTGTAGAAATGAGTGGATTCTCCTAAGAAATGGGATCTTGCTGCCCTCCAGGTGGGAGGAGCCAGGATAGGCAAAAGGAGAGGATCCAGTATAAACAATGCACAAAGATGTATCGATCCCAGTATATTTTGATTTAAAAAATGCCTTCAAGTGTGCCAAACTACTAATGAATCTAGTAGAAATTTAACACTATGAAAATGATTGAAGATTGAGAATTTCTAGTGGCAGTAATTACTTTCTACCACCTTTCGTTCTTGTGACTGGAAACCAAGACTTTGGAAACATAGTGTGAATCGAGAATTTCTGAGATTCAACTGAAATAAAGACACAAAACTGAGACAGTTCAACATTTTGCCCTGTAGTTTTGGACGAAACAGTGGCCTTTCTTGGGTCCCCATTCATGCTTTGCTGAATCACGATCTGCTCTTGATGAAATGCTTCTTTTCGCTGTGAGCATTGGCTGCAAGAAGACCACACCCCCAAGGCTCCTTTAGGAGCCTTTAGGGGCAGTAAAGTCTTAACATAACAGTAGTGATTTTCCTGTTGGGACCCTGAAGTTGACTTTTGCTGTGGACTTCTGAACTGATTGTAGGTTCACTCCGTTGTAACCTTTGGGAAGGTCTGAACTGGGTTCCCAGGTAGAAACTGCAAGGGCAGGAGCTCAATTTGTAACATCGTTTCTACTATGGCTAAAATGAATGCTCCGTGAAAGTTTGAGAAAATACTCCCTGTGAATTGTGGTGGTGAATTTTTAATCTCCTAAAAGGAAATTTTAATTTTTTCATCAGTGAAGCTAGGCAATACCATTTAAAGAAAAAAGGCACGCTGAGCAATTTGCATTGTGAAATGTGAAATGGAGAGAAGGTAAAAGAATAATGGAAAGGAAGACAAAGGAATAAAAGAGTATAATCAATCTGTTACAATCTATTTAAGCCACTTTAGTAACGTTTAGGAATGGAGGGCTAGAATTCTAACAGTTGCAAACTAAAATACATACACACACACCACTGCGATCACCATCACCACCAAACAAAACTCCAAATGCAATACAGATTTTCTCCTTGGAAACTGAAAATCCATTTTAGAAAGAGACCAGCAAGTTGCTGCCAACAATAAAATGCAAGCCAGCTTATAAAAGTGCCTATTATTTTTTTTGGTACTACATGTTTTTTTCTCACTTAGAGGAGAGAGAGAAAGGTTTAGGGATGTGAAAGCAATTAATTCAGACATCGCAAGGACTAGGACCCAAAGTTTATGTTTTTGTTCTTGATGTTGTTTGGGTGTTGATGTCTGCAGGATTAGAATAAATTAATAGTTTTTACTAGGAGCCCTGCAGTGATTTAGAAAAAGTCCGTAGCCTGAAGCAATTTTGGAAAAAGAGTAAATGTCTCTCTGCCAAATCATGTGGATTTTTTCCTCCATTTTTTTTCAAATAAAATATAGGTTTGGAAAACCACATGATACGAATGCTGAGCTTAGTGAATCATTTTAAGGCGAGTATCCTTCACCATCACCCAGGTCAAGAAAGGGAAAGGACTTCACTAGTCATGGCA